ATAAAGCAGCAAGACTTCAGACTGAGGCCCAACTTTTGGTTGCTAACTTCTGGTCCAATTATGATGTTCTGGCACTATTGACTGACTTAAATGACTATTGGGAGTATTTTTGGTTAGATGGAAATGATGTATGTTTTTGGAAAATCGAAGAAAGAGCCAAAGCAGTTGCCATATTAAAAGACTATGTAAATGTTGTTGGAGTTAATGATATTGGTAGAATTGGTAGTGAAGTGGGAATGTCCATTGATTATCCCATTGGCAAAAGAAGAAAGCTTGATACTAACGAGCTAGTCACTGTTCCATCATCAGATATTGCAAACATGGAAGACTTTGCTGATGAAATGTCAGAGATAGAGTTGAAGCAGTGGAGAGTCCGATGTCTTATGAGAAAATTTTTCTCAATGCCATATCCTCAAACAGTCCTTGCTGAAGTTATTGAAGATGATAAATTTCCATCACATATAAAATAATTATGAAGCATCACATGTCACGAATACAAATAAATGAATAATGATAAAAATTTTTGTTCAGGAAGAAATGTAACTTTTTCTAAAAATTTTTAAAAATTTTAATAATCATGAAATTAATAACAAAATCAAATATGATATTTCAAAGCATTTTCTACATTTATTCAATTATTTTTGCTGAATCAATGCCTTTTTTTATGGGTGTGTAATTGATAATAAAATACTAACAATAATAATGAATTTTTAAGAATGACCATAAATTAATAAATAGCATGTATATTCATCAGAACTGAGTAGATCATAAATTAAATGATCCATACCCATGTTTGGTTCAAATTGAACTGTTTCATTTAAACTTTATTATCAAATAATAAATCAAATAATTAAAATATCACTACATGAAAATTGGTGTTATACATTTTCAATTTCAGTTGATGAAAGATTTAATAATGATTCAGCCTGTTAAATATTTTGCAAAAGTATTAAATATTTTACCTTCCTGAGAATTAGTTACTGTAATAGGATTTATTAAATATACATATCGCAAAAAAACTTATTTTTTTTCAATCTTATATTTTACATAAAAAAGGAGGAATGGACCCATACAAACTATTAAATAAACTCATTACCAAATTGAATGAATTGATCAATGGAAATTTCCAGCTGATTAGAATTAACAATTTATTAAATGAATTAGTTGAATTGTTAAAAATAATAGAGAATTGTACTTGTTATTTATTTCAAACATTAAATTTCACTTATCTGGATCCAGAAAAGAAAAACCAATTAGAAAAATATTTGATGAAATGAATAAGATTAAATATGACCCTTTAAATGCTATTTATATCAGCAGACCATTTAATTTACAAATCTTCCTCAGCCTGCAAACTCCAATAAAGTCACAATCATTGGAAATGATAATGGTAATTATTTATTTAATTTAATTATAATTTTTTTAATTAAATAATATCAATATTAAAATTGGCAATATCAATACATCTATTATAGATTCTAATCAAATTAATTTGGATGCTTGAATGCATCATGCATGTAAATTATAATTATGCAAGTAAATATATATATTTCATAAACACACCTTATTGTTATATCTAAAAAATAGTATAATTCACATGAAATAGTAATGTGGATATTATTTTTTTGTAATTTACTTTTTAATAAGTGTTGTAACAGTCTATTTACTCGTTTCATATTTTCTAATTTATTATATTATATTATTATATTTAAAAATTTTTTTTTGATTTCGTCAACAGTTAAAGGATAATTAATCTATTATATTAACATTTAGTAAATTTAAATATAATAAAAATATAATAATTTTTAAATAAATGAATGTTCTTTAAACTCTAATATAATAATGATTAGTCTTCAAAAAAAATTTATACAAAAAATAAAACAAAAACTTTATAACTTATAAGATTAATTAATAATTTACAAAAAATAAAAATAAAATAATAATCTTTTTTTTTATAATATAAATTATTTTCAATGACTTCCAAAATATAATATTAATACATTAGCACTAATATTGAATCCAAATAAAGAAATAATATAAAAAATAAAAAATATTGCTATTGGATATAAAAACATTTCTGTGTGCAGAAGAAACGGAAGTGCTACAAAAAAATTGAGTAAATAAGTAAAATTGATTATTTTTGAAAAATATTCAATCATTAATCGCCAATCACCAAATCTTTGCCCAATCACTTACCATTATATCCAAGGAATGTTATATAACAGTAATAACTTACAGCAATTAGATACATGGTGTTTCCAAGGAATAAACAAATCCAAATATGTTTTACCAGAATTCTCATAAGAAAGAATTGAACAACATATAAAATCAAAAATAATGGAAAAAATGAGTTGCAGTGCACATCAAATGCATATGCCCATTCAACTGACTGTTCTACAGCGTGGATTGTTCGTTTATGTGTGAGAAATCTATTAGCAAATAACCTGTTACATAATAATAATTTTTAACGGTGATATTATTAAATAGTGATTAGATGATTAAAAAATTATTATTATAATTAATATTAAATATAATTAAAATGAGCCATATTCTAATTACCAACAAACTGATGAAATAAATAATCCAACAATTACAAAATCTACAAAAACCATGAAAGCTATCATTTTAAAGATTCCAACAATTCCATGTCCATATACAATTCCCCATGCAATAGCTGATACTATATAAATCAAATATTTAAGAGATGTTGTGAATATTTGAAGGTGATGGATATTAATATCAATATTAATTGATCGAGAAATAATTCCTTACTTCCTAATAGAAATGATAAAATTACAACAAATGCTGGATCATCTCTCGCCCATTGATTTTTTGTCTCTAATTTAATTAAATCAATTAAATCAATTAATATTGTTCTTTAATCTTCCACTTCCACTTCTAATTTGATGATCTTGATATATATTTTTTATTCCCTAAAAAATAACTTACGCTTATGATAATAAATATTTCTATATCTATAATAATTAAAATTTAACATTATTAGATTCTAAATTATTATTGTTATTCACGAACTTATAAATCTAAATTATCAATTATTACTCACACTCTCCTAGGTGATATACATAAATAAAACATTTGCCACAATGCAATTTCAAAATCCTAATTTTTATTAAGGAAAAAAAAATACATTGTTAATTATTTTTTTCCTTGTTAAAATTAAATTCATTATCTATAATTAATACTTGTGTGAAACATTAATAAAATAAGTAAATATTTTAATAAAACACCTTTAAAAAAACATACTATTACCATCTGTGGAAATCTAAATAAACGTCTTAAAAATATAGGAATAGATGCTGTCCAATAACTAGATCTTCGCTTGTATGGATAAACATCCTCATTAAACGAATTCCTTGGTGAAGTAATTGGTAAAATTGACATGTTTTTTATTTATATTTTAATATGTTATTTGAATGATGAATTATATTTCCTAAATTTAAATATAATTAACTTGATTAGGCATTGAAAATCATCCAGATTTACAAAGATTAGCATAGTGGAAGTTTGTTGTTACACTAAATGTTGTACAGAACTCATTGCTTCTGAAACTTCGCCAGTGTATAGTTGTTACCTCTCTAAATTGGAGATCAAGTTCGGATCAAATTCAAATCCAGTTTATCACTTACTTTTTATTGCCAGAATGTTTGCCGTGTATTGTAAAGCTACGTTGCACAATATAAAAAATTAGTGTAACATTTCAAATTTCCACTATGCTACAAAGATTGGAGTTGATTTTGGTAATGAAAGCTGCAACTTCAAAAATCGCATCTCCAACATGATGAAAGTCCTTGCAACGCTGTTTCTATTATCTTATTCCCATTCAGATGGTCGTTAGTCTATGGATTAATCAAAAAACTATTAGCAGAATCGCGAATTGAGTTTAAATAATGATGATATGGCATTATCAATTGTTGAAAAAGTAGAGAGGATTGGATTTCCAGCATATTTTGGTAGCGCAGGTAGATGTGTAATGGGTGATTGCTTGGCATGATGTTGCCACTCCATGCAAGTGGGTCCATTTGTCTTTGGCCACCATCAAGTCATAGAAGGCCTTACACTTATTTCTTTTTAAAAAAGGGGACAAATTTGAAGGCAAGGTTGTGTTTTTTGATAGATGTTTGCATTTTTGGTGGCCAGTATCTGGTTCTAATTTTGAAAATTTCTCAATCATAATGTGGCTAGTACCAATACAGGAAGAACCTAGCTATCTATTGAAGGTGGTATTTTTATATACTCATAGTGCCCCTTTCCATTGGGGAAACATCAAAGATTCCATGTCAGGGTTTTCAAATAAGATCAGAAGTTTGACATTGTTTGATTCAACAAAACTCACAATCAGTATACTGTAGATTGTGTCAGTTGGCTTTTTATTTGATAATTTAGGTATAATTTTTATTATATTTAAATTGTTCAGATACATGTATTCAGGGTCAAAGATTTCAATACCTTTATTTAGTTTATAGTGAAAATCACAATTAGCAGTCTCGATAATGGAAAAAAAGTTAGGAATATTAACGACTTCTTTAATTATTTTTTCCCGTTGTTCGGTTTTTAATTGAGGATTAATTAACTGCTAATATCTCTTTATCAATAATTTCGCTGTAATTTACTCGAGCAATAGTAGGTATTTTTTGCCAGCCTCATTCTTGTAATTTTTTGGCTAAATGATTTTCTCAATCCTTTTCTTTACTTTTTCACATGATTTTTAATATTAGTTTGGAGGAGTTAAATTTTAAGATTTTTAATATTAATAAATTATTTATATTGATAGTACATCACTTCAATTTGTCAATACTATAAAAAAATGAAACCATTGTTTTGAAAAGGTAAGATACAAACAATGCTGCAATTATGTATGTATGATAACAATGATTATTAAAAATTACATTTATTTTTTTGTCAAAAATTATTATTTTT